AGGCTTGGAGCTGGCGTTTCGCGAGGTCTGGGAGTCCTGCGCCTATCCTCACGGTTCTGCCCGTGTCTTCTCCGAGGGGAATGAGTTCGAATTCTCCATCCGGGATGGGGCGCGCTGGGTGCGACGGTTGCCCGTTACCTCCGTCGGTCTTTGTTATATTGTCGAGCTCGTCGGTGAAGCGACTGTCGAGCTCAACGGATCCGACCAGCTCCGTTGGTTTGTCCTTCGGCGTAGCGTTTGACGCTTTCCTCTTGGTCGACGGAGTGATGGAGTCTAGTCCTTTCAAGGCGGCCTCGAAACATCTGCGAGCGGCTTCGATGTCTCCGTTGAGGGTTACCACGGCTCCCCGTCTCGTGTAGTACTTCATCTTCAGGTGGACGGTGGAAGGTACCGCGGTGAGTTCTGCTATCGTCGTCCTGCCCAGAATGCAGTTATAGAGGGACGGGCATTCGATGACTAAGAAACGGACGTTGATGTCCCTGGCGGTTTCCTCTTCTCCGAAGGTGACTTTCAATTCCACGTATCCTCAAGGTCTCGTCGTCGTCCCGTTGAACCCCTGAAGGTCGGAGCCTACGTAGGGAGAAAGATTGGATTCGTCGAGCTGGAGGGTAGTGAACAGATGTGAGTACATGATGTCAACCGAGCTCCCGCCGTCTACGAGGAGGCGCCTGACGTCGAAGTTTGCCATTCGGGCACGTATGAGCAAGGGGATGTTGGAATTGGGGGATCCCCCGGGTAGTTCCTCGAGGTAGAATGTGATCGGGTTGGAGCGGCCTCGGAATTTGTCGAGCGTGCTCATTTTGCCCGAGTTGTTCGCGATGAGCTCGTCGAACTTCCTTTTCACAGATCCTATGGATAGACTCCTCGTGGCTCCATCAGAGATGACCATGGCTCTGGGGAAGTATTCCCATCGGCTGGTTGGTCGGATTGGCTCGTCGCTTAGGTTGGGTCCTTCGGGGGTGCCGAATTCTCTGCTCGCGAACCAATCTTCGGGGCGGCTGACGCACAACGCGACCTGGAGCCTGCTGCTGTCCTCCGGAGAGGGGAGTTCCTCGATCTTCTTGGTTTCCGGGGCCTCTGGCCTAGGTGGTTCGCCTCCTCGGGTGTATCGCTTCAGGTGCTCGTCTTTGATTAGAATTTCGATCGCATCCTTGAGATGGATGCAGTCTTCTGTCACGTGCCCGTGGGTCCTGTGGAATCGGCAGTATTTCGATTTGTCCACGTTGGGTTTGGGCGGCGTTGGTCGTGGAAATCGGACACCTCCCTGAACAAACTCGGTTTTAGCGCATTCGGCCAGTATGCGTTCGCGCGAAGCGACCAAGGCTGTGTACTCTGTGAATCTTTCTGCGGGGCCGCGCGGCTCGCGTTGTTCGCGGGGCTCGCGGGGGCGGTCTTCCCGACGGCGATCTCCTCCTCGTCGATGGCTCGAAGCTCCGTCGTCTCGGTGCCCGCGGGGGACCTCTCTGTCTCGAGTGTCGCGAGCGGAGTTGGCCGCTTGTGTTTCTTCGAATCGGATGTAATGCGCGGCTCTGTCGAGGAAATCTTGGAGGGACGTGGGCCGGTGTATGCCTACGGCCTCGTAGAATTTGGAGTCGTGGCGCAGGCCCTGTTCCATTAAGTAGCGTTTCATTTCGTCGGAAGTTGTCACCTGCACGGCTTCCCGAGTAAACCTTTCGATGTATTTTCGGAGAGGTTCATCGGGGCCTTGGATGATTGCCCCGAGGACTGCTTCCGTCTTCGGGTGACGTCGGGACGCCGTAAAGTGCTTGGAGAACAGGTCCTTCAAGACCCTCCACGATGTAACTGACTCGGGCTCCAGACTTTTGTACCAGGTCATAGCGCCTTTCCTCAGAGTCGTTGGGAAAAGTCTGCACTTGATAGCTCCCCGGACGTTCCGGTAGTCGAGCATAGCCTCGATGTCTTCCAGGTGATCGTCCGGGTCGGAGGTGCCGTCGTATGTCGACAGCGTCGGTGGTTTCTCCATCCCCTGGGGTATAGGGGCGGCCATGATCTCCCGGGACAGCGGGGTGCGGTAATCATCCTCGTCGCTATATGCCGGGGATCTGTGAGGAGATGAGCCGTTCAAGGTGTGCCCCTGGTTTCGAGTTCTCGACCTCCTTCCGGAGTTCTCGACTCGGGGGTCCTCAGTTGGGATCGTCGCTGCGTTCTGGTTCCTCCCGCGAGCGTGTCTTGCCGGGGATCGGGTGCGTTCTCGTGTCGCCTGCAGTCGGTGTCTCTCCAGCCGGGGTCGGCGGTTTCTGGGGCAAGGCGAGGGACTCCTCGAACCTCCGTTCTGGTCTTCCCGCTGGGGGTACCTCGGGGGGCCGACGCGTTCTAATGCTCCAATCCTCGCATTTTGTTGGAACAGCAGCTGGTTCGTCTGGTTGATGGTTGTAAAGAAAGCGGCCACCGTTGGGTCTGCTCCCGCCGGGATGGGAACGGGGTGGAATGCTGGCGGGCTCGGGGGGTGGTGGTCGGCCTGAAGGGGCCGTTCCTCGGATGATGGTGAAGCAGTTTGCCCGTCCCTTTCATCAGCTTCCGTCGGACGTGTCGTTCCTATCTGCTTCCCGTTGGTGGCGACGTTGAGCGCAAGGTCGTGCGGAGTGTCATCGCGGCGTGGGCTAGCCATGATCGTGGAGGTTTGGTGAAACTTTTGGTTTTCTGCTCGGAGTAACGGGGAAGTTTCAGTTTCCCACAGACGGCGCCACTGATCTGACCTGATCAGGAGGGGATCACGATATGGCCGCGTGCTACTAGATGGCTACCTGTTCACCGGGGTGAGAAAGAGGAGGGGGGTGTACCTGCAAGACATTCCGATGCCAAAGTAAGAAACCGGGCAGAGTGGGAGCAATAGTACAGAAAAGGGGCAAGAAAAGTTACCTGACCCTATTGAGGAAGAGGGTATTTATAGAGAGACCCCAGCGCTGGGCCAACGGTCATTTGAGGTGGGCTGGATGACCAGGCCCAACCCTAATGACTGCTAGGGCTTACGTGGCGTAGTGAAGACCAGGACGTGGTCTTCGCCCTAGTCCAACCGCTCCTAGATCTCCGGAAAGTGGGTTTGACCTGCTCTTTCGGAGGTGGGCAGTTGGCCGGTGACGCGTCCCCGCGGAGGGGAGCACGTGGAGAACGTGCGCCGAGCACATTATTCTACCCGCGGAGGGGAGCCCGGGAGGTTCCCCGGAGCGCGTTGTTCTCCCCGCGGAAGGGAGGAGCCAAGGGCCGTGCTTTGGTGAGCCGGGGACGGTTCTGCCCATCCGGTGTGGTAGACGACAAAAGGTTGTGGAGACGTCGCCGGTGTTCGGCGGCTTGCCCTGCTCGTCTCGAGGGGCGCACGTGCCTGGCGTGCCCGATTCGCTTGTTGGGCCGTACGCGGTATTGGGCCTGCCGGGGTTGGGCCCATACCGGAACAGAAATGCTGGTCAAAATTAGCCCAAAGTATAAATTACTAATGTGGTATTATGGTCTTATGGGAATCTAAATAACTTCTATGTCAAATCCTGCTATGAGAAGTTATTGTAGAATGTTAAGGGAATGGAACTGGATCGTTTAACTAAAAAATATCTGAAGGCGAATTGGGAAGCTAGGGTCCCTTTTAAAGTAAATATTTTTGGGTGGAGATTAGTTAAGGACATGTTACCAACAAGGCATCAACTTGAAAGAAGAGGGATTATTTATAATCCACATGATAACGTTTATGTGTTTTGCTTTGGGTAGAATGAAGACACTCATCATGTAATGATCTCATGTCCTAGGATAAAGGTGGTATGGCAGAAAATTCAAGTCTCACTTGGACTGCCCAATCTAGACAAAAACTATTGTTGTAACCATTCGGTGAAGACCTTGGAGACTTTGAAAGGGAGGTGTTCCAAGAAGAGGGAGTATGCCGTTTGGCTTGGTGTTAATTGGTGTATATGGAGGTCAATAAATACGATTCTACTTAATAACGAAGTTGGGGACCCGAATGAAATTGTGCATAGAGCCAAGATACTTTTTTTGGTGGTTGTTGGCTATAGGTTTCAAAGAAAGAATCAAATGTAATTACTATGAATGAGGTAAATGTCCACTCGATTTTTTTAAATAGTAGTGTGTTTAATGGATGCGTTTTTGTATATATTTGTATTCAAGATAGAATATCTTTAGTACTCTTTGTTAAATATCGAGTTGCTTATAAAAAAACTCTCCACATCTATTTTCTTTCTTAATTTAAAAAAAAAATGGAGTTTCTTTCAAAGTAGTAATTTTGTGAAATGGATTAAAGATGAGACCTTCGTGTTAGATTCTTCAAAGAATTATACTTCTCACTTGGAGTTCTAAAACTCAATATTTTATACCTTATTAAGAGCAGGGTGTGAATAAGGATTGTGAGGATTATGTTGAGAACTTGAAAAGATTATAAATAACATTTGCTGAGAAACCTATTGAATATTAAAAAGGATAACATGGTCTATCTGAATATAAATATATATTATTGTACATAGGTTATGAAAAGATACCAAGGTGTAACATACATAGATTTTAAAAAGGATATTATTGACAAATTTTCAATGTTTTAAAAGTATAAGGTTGAACTATTTTAAATAATAATGAGAAAACTCAAAGTAGATCAAACAATATTAATAATGTAATTGTCTAATTAAACATTAAAACTTATCAAAATCAGGCGAGATATAAATTTTACAAGTTCTAGATAGTTAAATGGACTTATGACAAAATCCAAACACATTCAAACTAATAAACTCGTAAATGCATTACTATGACAGTAACATTTCCGAATATAAAAAGATAAGTATAGCACTCAAACAAAGATGCATTGAATGACAAATGAAGATAAGATGCAATCATGTAAAACACAAAAATAACTATTAAAGCATTGGTTCAATTCATTCATATCACCTTAACCAAATACATCCAACATAATAAATTGTGTTCAATATCCAATTATTAAAGTACATTGAAAGAAATAAAAAGACATGCATGCATGCAGAATTTATGAGTTCTTATGCATCCTTGTCTTGAGAAGTTATGGCTTCTGATTTGCAGTTTGGGCAGCTATTCCTCAAAATAAGACACTTTGTTATGCAATCAACGTGAAACTCATGCTCACATTGAAAAATTGCAATCTCCTCTTGATTAATAAACTTATTCTATGTGTTAATAAGTAGTAATTAATTAGTACATACAAGTAAGACCTATCCTTCAAAAATTATCTTTTAAAAGTCGAGTATAAAATTATTAAAATTACTAAATGAAATTGAATTATTTTATTAATTAAAGGATCATACCAGACATATTATGCAAGAGTCCACATGACTTGGTGTATAAACTTTAGTCTTCAATTGGGTCTCAATGGTTTCCATTTATAAACCAGTGCATACTTTGCCAATTTGTTCAGCCAATTCATAAAGATCCTTAAATTAATAACACCAAGTGTTAGTATATTTCAATTCTCACATTTCTACATTGATAGTAAAATAGAATTTAAATATCTACATATACATACCTCATAAGATATCTCATCATCTTCTTCAGCACGTATAACTCGACATTTGCGAGGATTCAATATCTCTAAACCTGTTTATGAAAGGATTGAATCAACACATGAATGGAGGATGACAAAACAAAAATAAAAATAAAATGGCAATCTTGCAGCACATTAGACTCACCTGCTGCTCTCAATATATACTTTGGCCTCACAATGCGTCTATTGTGTGGTCCATTACCATCATCCATAATACAAATACTTCTTCTGAAATTGTTCAATGGTAAGGAACAAAATGATATAAAAATATAGAGATAGACCAAGATGATACTTACAGTATCGGCTAGCTGCAGTGCACAAATGAAATATATTGGAGAGAGAAAAAAGACTAAATGGTGAAAATGAAAGATTTGTAATAAAATGATCTTATAAACATCCTGCCTCAAATAGATTTTGTCAAAAGGTTTATCAAAAAGGTGTTTTCAGGTCTCATAATTTTTTTAATATGGTTATAAAATAAAATACATCCTTTGCTAAAAATTGATTTTTTTAGGTCTTCAACATTTATGTGAGAGATTTTTTTTCTTATACTTACATGATATTTTAAAAGAATAATTAATAGTTACCTAATTTTCATAATTCATATACTTTTTAATTATAAAAGTATATAATCTATAGCTAAAATATTGTATCTTTCAATATAATAAAGAATAGTAGTAAAAATAATTAAAAATTCAAAATACTAATTGCCATACATATCATATACTTTACGTGTCAATAATATTTACGTTGAGTTATACTTAATTTAGAAAGAAAAATTAAAACCTTAAATGATAAAAAGAAAGAAAATATATTTTAGTATTATAGAAATAAAATAAAATCTTAAAATCAGTTAAAAGGACGACATAAGACGTCAAATGTAGTGAGACGGTTCGACAAAGGTGGACGCTGGAAATCAAAAAATCGATAATGATATTCTATGCCTTCCTAAAAGAAAGAAGAACAGTTGCTTGCTGTTTAAAGTGGACTTTGCACATTCTTGTAACTGTTTAGATTGGTGTTTCTTAAGGAACATGTTCGAAAATACGGGTTTGGGCATAAATGGATGGATGGAAGAGTCTTTACCAGCCATATATCTGTCGTGGTTAATGAAAGTCGAACAGAAGAATTTTTTGTAAAGAGGTGGTTGAGAAAAGGAGACCCATTATTTTCATACCTATTTTAAATTACTACAGAAGGCTCAGGTGGATTGGTTAGGTAGGCTATTAACATGGGTGTGTTTTAGGGCTTTAAAGTTAATGAAAAGGTATCTTATATCCTACTTCAGTTTATAGATGAAACAGTCTTGGTGGGTGAAAGGTCTTGGTCAAACTTATGGGCAATGAAGTCTATTCTAAGAGGGTTTAGAATGGTTTCATGCTTGAGGATTAACATGTGGAAAAACAAATTGTATGGTTTAGGAATTGAAAACTTTTTTCCAAGCTGCAACCTAAATTTATGCTTGTAAGAAAGGTTGTTTACCTTTTAAATTATTAGGTATAACAGTTGGTGGTAACCTTAGAAGAGTGACTTTTTGGAATTTGTCATCTCAATGTTGAAATCTAAGCTTTCTCCCTAGAAATGAAGTCTCTTATTAATAGGTTTTTAGATACATTAATTAATTCTGTTTTGACTAACCTACCTGTTTACCACCTTTATTTTTTTAAAGCTCCAAGGAAAGTTGTACAGGAAATTACAAGTATTCAGATGAATTTTATGTGGAAAGGTTTCGCTGTTAAAAAGGGAATTGCTTGGATATGTTGGAATTCTATATGCAAGTAAAAAGATGAGGGAGGTCTTAACATCTAAGATATAGTTATGTTTAATACGACACTGTTAAGTAAATGATTATGGAGGTTCATTAAGGAAGGCAATGAAGTTTGGTAGAGAATTTTAGAGGAGAGATATGAGAATCTTGCTAGGATGTTTTTACACAAAGAAAGGCATGAGAAAAAAATCTCTAGAATCATTTTGGTGGAGGGATTTAATGAAGATTGGGGACTCAGTTGAACCTGCAAGTGTTCTGCATCTGATAACATACAGGTTAAGAGAAGGAGTTAATATTCCTTTTTGGACCTCAAGATGGTTGGGTCAGAGGTCACTCGTGCTTAAATTCCCAAATTTGTATCAAGGCCTTGATAGCAAAGCATGTAGTGTGAGAGGGTATGGGCGTGTAGGAGGGTGAGTATTAGAAGTGGCAATTAGGGTTCTGCAACATTGAAGATGATTTTGACTTATTGGCTGCATATGGAGAATTATCAGAAATGCTAGTCAAAATTAGCCCAAAGTATAAATTACTAATGTGGTATTATGGTCTTATGGGAATGTAAATAACTTCTATGTCAAATCCTGCTATGAGAAGTTATTGTAGAATGTTAAGGGAATGGAACTGGATCGTTTAACAAAAAAATATCTGAAGGCGAATTGGAAAGCTAGGGTCCCTTTTAAATTAAATATTTTTGGGTGGAGATTAGTTAAGGACATGTTACCAACAAGGCATCAACTTGAAAGAAGAGGGATTATTTATAATCCACATGATAACTTTTATGTGTTTTGCTTTGGGTAGAATGAAGACACTCATCATGTAATGATCTCATGTCCTAGGATGAAGGTGGTATGGCAGAAAATTCAAGTCTCACTTGAACTGCCCAATCTAGACAAAACTGTTGTTGTAACCATTCAGTGAAGACCTTGGAGACTTTGAAAGGGAGGTGTTCCAAGAAGAGGGAGTATGTCGTTTGGCTTGGTGTTAATTGGTGTATATGGAGGTCAATAAATACGATTCTATTTAATAACGAAGTTGGGGACCCGAATGAAATTGTGCATAGAGCCAAGATACTTTTTTTGGTGGTTGTTGGCTATAGGTTTCAAAGAAAGAATCAAATGTAATTACTATGAATGAGGTAAATGTCCACTCGATTTTTTTAAATAGTAGTGTGTTTAATGGACGCGTTTTTATATATATTTGTATTCGAGATAGAATATCTTTAGTACTCTTTGTTAAATATCCAGTTGCTTATAAAAAAACTCTCCACATCTATTTTCTTTCTTAATTTAAAAAAAATGGAGTTTCTTTCAGAGTAGTAATTTTGTGAAATGGATTAAAGATGAGACCTTTGTGTTAGATTCTTCAAAGAATTATACTTCTCACTTGGAGTTCTAAAACTCAATATTTTATACCTTATTAAGAGCAGTGTGTGAACAAGGATTGTGAGGATTATGTTGAGAACTTGACAAGATTATAAATAACACTTGCTGAGAAACCTATTGAATATTAAAAAGGATAACATGGTCTATCTGAATATAAATATATATTATTGTACATAGGTTATGAAAAGATACCAAGGTGTAACATACATAGATTTTAAAAAGGATATTATTGACAAATTTTCAATGTTTTAAAAGTATAAGGTTGAACTATTTTAAATAATAATGAGAAAACTCAAAGTAGATCAAACAATATTAATAATGTAATTGTCTAATTAAACATTAAAACTTATCAAAATTAGGCGAGATATAAATTTTACAAGTTCTAGATAGTTAAATGGACTTATGACAAAATCCAAACACATTCAAACTAATAAACTCGTAAATGCATTACTATGAAAGTAACATTTCCGAATATAAAAAGATAAGTATAACACTCAAACAAAGATGCATTGAATGACAAATGAAGATAAGATGCAATCATGTAAAACACAAAAATAACTATTAAAGCATTGGTTCAATTCATTCATATCACCTTAACCAAATACATCCAACATAATAAATTGTGTTCAATATCCAATTATTAAAGTACATTGAAAGAAATAAAAAGACATGCATGCATGCAGAATTTATGAGTTCTTATGCATCCTTGTCTTGAGAAGTTATGGCTTCTGATTTGCAGTTTGGGCAGCTATTCCTCAAAATAAGACACTTTGTTATGCAATCAACGTGAAACTCATGCTCACATTGAAGAATTGCAATCTCCTCTTGATTAATAAACTTATTCTATGTGTTAATAAGTAGTAATTAATTAGTACATACAAGTAAGACCTATCCTTCAAAAATTATCTTTTAATAGTCGAGTATAAAATTATTAAAATTACTAAATGAAATTGAATTATTTTATTAATTAAAGGATCATACCAGACATATTATGCAAGAGTCCACATGACTTGGTGTATAAACGTTAGTCTTCAATTGGGTCTCAATGGTTTCCATTGATAAACCAGTGCATACTTTGCCAATTTGTTCAGCCAATTCAAAAAGATCCTTAAATTAATAACACCAAGTGTTAGTATATTTCAATTCTCACATTTCTACATTGATAGGAAAATAGAATTTAAATATCTACATATACATACCTCATAAGATATCTCATCATCTTCTTCAGCACGTATAACTCGACATTTGCGAGGATTCAATATCTCTAAACCTGTTTATGAAAGGATTGAATCAACACATGAATGAAGGATGACAAAACAAAAATAAAAATAAAATGGCAATCTTGCAGCACATTAGACTCACCTGCTTCTCTCAATATATACTTTGGCCTCACAATGCGTCTTTTGTGTGGTCCATTACCATCATCCATAATACTAATGCTTCTTCTGAAATTATTCAATGGTAAGGAACAAAATGATATAAAAATATAGAGATAGACCAAGATGATACTTACAGTATCGGCTAGCTGCAGTGCACAAATGAAATATATTGGAGAGAGAAAAAAGACTAAATGGTGAAAATGAAAGATTTGTAATAAAATGATCTTATATACATCCTGCCTCAAATAGATTTTGTCAAAAGGTTTATCAAAAAGGGGTTTTCAGGTCTCATAATTTTTTTAATATGGTT